AACGTAGGTCCCATAAGTATAAACCACTGGAAATGTGAATTTATAGTACAGAATTACTGAAAAGTAGTTCTTCTGCATCAAGTTGCTCACAGACTCTGTAGAATTAATGTTCTCTTTGATCAGACTTTTCCAGACCTAACTGCAAGTTATTTTCTCTGCCCCAGTCCTCAACACCAAAGGGTTTTAGTCCCCCAAATGCAGCAAGCAGAAGCCTTATAGGACACACTCCATCCTGTAGTTCTGAATGATACACACACTGGAGTCAGGGCCCTGACCACAGCTGCTTGTATCTTCCTAAATTCTATCAATAAATAATGCTGATTTATAGAGGTTCTAATCAACTGACTGTTAATCTTTTTACACTTATCTCACCAATCACTTTCTGGTATGAATTTAAGAAGCAGCTTGTTCATTGGAATATAACAGCACTGCCACCCTCTGAAGAAAATGGGCCTAAATAGAGAACTTAAGCTATTAGTACCTTTGCATATCACATTAATCGTAGGTTATAACCCCACTCTGAGGACTTCTGAAAGGCTGAACTAACCTAGTGTCATCCAAAACAGAAGGTTTTGTTTTGTGGGCTTTTTTTTTTTTTTTTTGCCACTATGCAACCTTCAGCTATCACTAAATGATGTTCTGTAATTTTTTTCTGTCTTGGTTCTCTGCTTCTCATTTGACTATAATGAGACATAGCATTTTCCAAGCTTTCATGGCTAGACAGCTGAACTGACTAAATAGTTTTTCTGATAGCATAAAATGCTACTGCACCTCTCACACTGAAAAACACTGAATATCATTACAGAAGAAAATTGAACGCGATAAACTAAAAAAGCGAAGATAATTCTTAAGTTCATAATATAAAATTATATAATGATCTGAACTGGGAGAAGCAATGGCAGTGCTGAAAGCTGCTCTGTTTAGGATGATATAGGCAGTGAAGAAGAGCATGTAATTGTTATGAATATTTCCTTTGTTGTGTTTGTACAAAAGACCATGGGAAAAAAAAAGAGAAAGGAAAAGGCCAGATTAACAGCTTATTTTTTTGGCATAAAACAAAATGAGGAAATGACAATTTCAGGATTATTTGCTGAACTGGATGAAGAGCAATGTTTAATTTATACTTAATCCTGCATGCTGGTCTACGGAGAGTTATTTGGAGACAGATACCAACACTAAGCAGATTCTAGAGTTATTTATACAAAGTGCTTCTGATGAGTATGAGCAGACATTTGAATGTAAAAGGAAATAAGAGAAAATTGATTATTTGGGAGAGAACGGTTGGGAGGGAAAAAACTTGGTCAAAGATAGCGACTACTGCATTGACTATATATAAACGATCTCCATGATCACAACAGTAATTGCCTAAAGCTGAAATGAGATCAGATTTAAATATTTAAGCACTCAAAGCCCCAGAACTCATAGAATTTTAATGGGAAAATTTCCACTCACACATTCACAGCATATTCAAGTAGGAAACATTTTATTTGCAAGCAGAATATACATTTCAGTGCTTTTTGGTGGCCAGATTGGCTAAATCGTTGTTTGAATTTGTACAAACACAAAGAATAATAACTTATTTATTATAGTACTTTTTTTTTTTTTTTTTTTTTTCTGGATAGTAACATTGCACACAAACTTCTCAAGTTCTATGCTGCAGAACTAGTGACCTACCATGAGAATTTTCTTTGCTGTGTGCAACAGGCATCACCTTTACTACATCCAAAACCAGTATTAGTTCTCTGCATTTCTTGTGTTCTAGGATAGCATCTGAAGCTTGTGGTAGCATTTTCTGTATTGATACGTTTTCACACTTGTGTCAGACTCAATGGAAAATAACACTGTTTTGATAATCTACTTGCTTGGATCTTCCTTCTAATGAGTTTCTTACAATTTCTCATAGTAAATCTCATCTCTGCGCTTGAGCAACATGGACATGGGATTCAAATATTCACAGGCCTTAAGCAGGAATGTGACTGTGCTAAATAACTCTACCTTTCTTTTTCTTCTCCAGGCCAATGCAGCCTGACTCTGACTCATCTTGTCTTCCTGTATCTTCATTGGTATTTTATATACTTGATGGCTTCAGTGAAAGCTTTCTTCTGACTTTCAAAAGCAACTGTTATACAATCACTTGACATTTCAAAATGTTGTGAAGAGGAGATGATGGAAACCCTATCTGGAGGGTGGATGTTGGAGGATAGCTGGAAATGGAACATAGGACAAGGGTAAACTGTGTAGGAAGAATTATTAAAATTGACATTTTGTAAGACTAATTAAAACAATATCTTTTATCGTATAATGCCTCATTATATTGAAAGGGGAGGCTAGTATCAAATCTTCATTGAAGTTTCTTCTAAGCACTGGAGCTTGTGTTAATACATCACCATAATTAATTTATCAATTTTCTTCAGACACTGCAGTTTTCTTGTGGTACTGAAAATCTCTTCACTTACAATACATGCAAGAAATATTAGCTGAACTTTGTTTTTTTTAAATTTAAGAAACAGTTTTAGTATATTACCCCTGTTATCCATCATTTAAAAAATCTTACATATTAGTACACTTTCAGGCATGACAAAGTTCCTTTGTGCTATTTTAGAATTGTATGGTTTCAGTTTTGTTAAGTGGGAGCCAGAAGTAGATATCCATCTTCTACCGTAGAAATATTTAGACATGCATACATCTTTTCCCATCTAAAGAAGTACTCATATGACACATTTTACCTTCTAGCCAAAGAAAGCTAATGATTTATCTTTACATTTACTCTCTGGCTATAGCTAGAGATGAAAACAGAGATAATGTGCAGAGAAGGAGAAAAGCCAGATGAAGGAAACAGAACAGTGACTCCTGTAGGCAGCTTCTCTCCTCTCTTGCCAGCCTCTACTGCTCTGGGTCCACCAAAGTAAGCCAAGGATAGAAGTCCTTGTGCTGTGTGCCATGCAAGGAGCAGTGGATACTGAACAACTGCTTTCCTGATGTGCCTTGCAGTTGACACACTTCTGGCTGCAGGCGCAGAAAAATACATTGTCTGGAAAGATGCTGCTCTCACACATCAGTCTTCCTATAAATTGTTATCTCTGTTCTCCCAGTGTAGCTATGCCTTTAAGGGTTAGGTATACAATTCCTATCTGTAGCAGGAGTTACAGCTACCGGCCCAGGAACCAGTAGCTAGGTAATGCATCTTTTTGAGTGCTGGTTGCAAGGATGTTGCTGGTGAATGATGTTTCCAAACTATAAAGATGAGGTTTCCTCTGCCTCAAGTTATTTTGTTTGTCTTGAGTGTTTATGTTTCAGCTCTGTGAAGTAATCTATCTGGGAGAAGGCCCACAAACAATTGGTTGAGGCTTTTCTTCTGATACAAATCTTCATAACCATTGAATCAAATCCAAATATGAAAGTAAAACTGTGCTTCATCCTGATGCTGGGATGTTGAGTACAGATAGCTGTGCTTCCACAAGCATACTGTGTTCCTGTGTCTCTTTAGCTTTCATATGGAAAATGGCTAATGCAAGGAAGATGAAAAATATTTTGAGGAAAACAGACTCCTGCACCAGATACAGATGTTTCCATAGCCTTTCTCTTAGGCTACTGGAAATAATCATTCAAACCACATCACTGCAAAAATTACACTTAGGTGTAACAACTGACTCTCGCATAGCTTTTGTAACTTAAAAATCCACCTATACTTTAGGTTTCTTTTCATATATTTGATTTTTAGTCTTTAATTGCACTTCATGAAACACTAAAACTACTTTCATCTCTGTTCCTTTGTATTTATTTGACATTCTATTCCTTCTTCTCAAGGGCTTTCCTTATCAGGTTGCACTCAAGCTGATTTTCAGCTCATGTCAGGTAAACTCAGGGACAGATATTTGGATGGATTTTACTAGATTTATTCATGGCTTGTTGTCATTATTTGTGTCTGAGCCACATTTCCCACAAGCTACAACATTGTCTCCTGTTGCTTTCCTTCATCTGTTCTAAGTACTGCCCTTTTTTTTTTCTTTTTTTTTTTTCTTTTTTTTTTTCCTGTGCAGCATCCTACTTCCTGATGGTGACAAGGCTTCAGGATTCAACTCTATTATCTTTTCCCTCATGGAAATAAGATGATGAAGAAGAGTATTATCTGGGACAAAATTATTTTCTTTAGGAAAATTTATTAAGCTAATTATGTCTTTGGCCTCCTTCCCCTATTTCTGGTCATTGGATGGTCTCCATTCCTTGAAAATTACAACCAGCTTAGCCAGTATTATAATGCAGCCTTACAACACTGTGTCTTGCAAGTGGACAACTGAGGCACAGAAAAATTAACAATGTGTGGGAGGTCTGAAAGAAAGAAGCAGTAGGAGATAAATATTTTCTTGCTTCCTAGTCCCTTTTCTATTTTGCCTGATACACAAAGCAGAGCAACTATATGCCACAGAAGAGTCAGATCACAATCTGAAAAATAAAACCCATCAGTTCAGCTCAGGAAATCATGTAAGACTGGTATTACGCTGCTATAACATTGCTAATACAAAATCACTTTTAATATATTATTCTGAAAATTAAAGAAGGAAAACAGATCTCTTGTAGCCCCTCTGCTTGCCTGTTGCTACTGGTAGCTCGTGCAGCATCCAAGTCTGCAGTCCTGTGTGATGTTTCAGAGAGACTCAGAATCAGCAGCCCCTTGACTTTCTGCAGCACCGAGTCCCATTGGCTGGAAGGCAAAGCAGAGGCGGAGAGTGCAGAGTATTTTTCTCCTCCGCACACCATAAAGCAGGCAGTCAGCATGCACTGCCTGACAGCGAGACTGGTGCTTGGAGTTTGAAATTAGTTTCTGTTCGGCAGCAGTCAGCTGAGCATTTTACATTTACCTCTCTCAATTGAAGGGTTAAAAAAAAAAAAAAAAAAAAGACCTGCAGCATAATAGTGAACTAAGCAAGAAGTGAACTTACGGGAGAATCTGATGCAAACTTCCATACTGTTGGGACTCAGTGATACAGATCACCAAGATGAAATGTGATGATGATCAGAATCTGCATCTGTGAGAGCACAAACCAGCATCTCTGAGTTTGAAACCTTATTTTACAACAGCAAAGTGCTCTGAACTACTGTCTGCCTCAGTGCTGCCTTATTTTTCTTCCCAAACTGAAAGGAGGATTTCAGAGGAATGCAAAAAGGACAGTTTTAAAAGCAGGAAGCTGAGAGGGTTTCTCCATAAGATGAATTTCACCCAGCATCGTGGGACACTCCAGCCTCTCCATTTCTGGAACCACAGCAATGGACTGCACAGGGGTGCCAGCGAGCCCAGTGCAAAGGGCCACTCCTCAGGAGGCTGCTATGAACAACTCTTTGTATCCCCTGAAGTGTTTGTGACTCTGGGCATCATCAGCTTGCTGGAGAACGTCTTGGTCATTGTGGCAATAGCCAAGAACAAGAACCTCCATTCACCCATGTACTTCTTCATCTGTAGCTTGGCAGTGGCTGACATGCTAGTGAGTGTATCTAATGGATCAGAAACTATTGTCATCACGCTGCTAAACAATACAGATACAGATGCACAGAGCTTTACCATAAACATTGACAATGTCATTGACTCAGTGATTTGCAGTTCCCTGCTTGCATCAATTTGCAGTCTCCTCTCAATAGCAGTGGACAGGTATTTTACTATCTTTTATGCCCTCCAGTACCATAATATCATGACGGTCAAGCGCGTAGGGGTCATCATCACATGCATCTGGGCTGCTTGCACTGTCTCAGGCATTTTGTTCATTATTTACTCTGACAGCAGCGTTGTCATCATCTGCCTTATCAGCATGTTCTTCACCATGCTCATTCTCATGGCATCCCTTTACGTTCACATGTTCATGATGGCTCGGATGCATATCAAGAAGATAGCAGTTCTACCCGGGACTGGCCCCATTCGCCAAGGGGCCAACATGAAAGGGGCCATCACTCTCACTATACTGATTGGAGTTTTTGTTGTGTGCTGGGCCCCGTTTTTTCTGCACCTCATTTTCTACATCTCCTGCCCCTACAATCCATACTGTGTGTGCTTCATGTCCCACTTTAACTTCTACCTCATCCTCATCATGTGTAATTCCATCATTGATCCGCTTATCTATGCATTTCGGAGTCAGGAGCTCAGGAAAACATTCAAAGAAATTATATGCTGCTGTAGCTTGAGAGGGCTTTGTGATTTGCCTGGCAAGTATTAGACTGAAGTGGATACATTACTGTGTATTCAGCATACAGCACAGTCTTCTGAGCCACTAGAATCTTTTTTCATCAGAACTTAGGTTACATGTTTAAGAGCAAACACTTTTTTCTCTTTCCCTTCCCTCCCATCTTTGTATCCCATTTATGTGTAAGTCATATTTCCGTGTAGTGTTTGTGATGTCTACAGTTTGTAATTTATTTGGCTAGGAAGAGAAAAAAAGTAGTACTTCATAGCAGTTTGTAAGTGAATAAATAAATGTAATGCTGATTGTGATATACTAACAAATATGAGCAGCTGTATGTTCCAATTGCTGACAAAATAAAAAACTTGCCTGAGTCACAGTGCATATTGGTTGATAATGTTCCTTATTCTGCTCAAGTAATTATAGCTATTTATTATGCTGTGTACAACTTAAAATAGAGCTTATGCTTCTCTATTAGTGGATTAGAGGCTCGCTAGAATTAGGAGGCAAATTTGTCATGAGAATTACTGGAATCAAAGGGTTGTGTTCGTTTATTTTACATGCTTTTCCATGTACTCTAAAAGCAGCAATCCTGTTCTTTGTTACAGCTATTGCCTACAAGAAGAAGATTTTTTCAAATACTTGCTAGCCAGACAATTGAAAGCTTGCTTTATTTTGGTTTTCAATATGATGATTGCTGTGTGTTTGAAAGTACCTTTTCACAAAATTAAAATTGAATTTGAAATTGAAATTGAATGTTCCATGCAGCACCAGTTAGCAATGGATAAATTTAATAGACTGGAATGCAGATAGGCTGTCACCCTCCGTTCCCTCATGAAGCAGGTGCAGTACTAACACTGACAGTGCTGGCACCTGTGTAAAGCTTTGCAGTGAGGTGCAGCTGATGATAATGAAGAAGGGATATCAGCCTTAAAACATTCAATTCTTATTCTGATATTCCGTGGTGAACAAGGACTCTGTACTTCAGAAAAAAATACAACTTTCCTAGAACCAGCTGCTCTCTGTTCTGAAGCATTATTAGATGAGATCCACTGCCTGGAGGAATGAAAGCAGGAATCAACTTCTTGTGACCACCTCAGGCACTACTGTGGACCATGTGATCTTGTCTGGGCAAGAAGGTCATCAGTCTGACAAGTGTCTAGATCTATGCTTTGTATCTGGCAGCCCTGTGTGTTAGTGCTGCTTGAGGACAGTTCACCTTTTCAGACATCTGATTTAGATGTTTAATAAGCAGGTCTCTGACTTTAGCACCTTGAAGATGTTTAAAGTGCAGATAGAAGTGCACAAGAGCCCATGGAAGACATCCTTTAACACCTTGACAACAGCAGCTTCTATGTAAGAGCATAGGAAAACAAACTTCTTTATTCTTGGTAAGTATAAAAATAGAGTGGTAACTGGGAAAGACCTGGAAAGTTTTGATATAGAAAGTAAAACCTTAATGTAAAGAATAATTTACATTTTAAACCTGGGTCTTTATTCCACCAAGATAAATAGTGAATTAGTGAGATGGAAGATGTGATTCCTATTTCATTAGGTTAGCCCAAGACATTAGAGGCAGATGTTGATGTTATGGCAACAGAGGTTGAACTTTCCAGCCAATATTCCATTGCATTTAGTTGGTGTCTGACACAAAAGTGCATATGAATCCAAGGGGTGAAACTGAATTTCTGCATGAGGAAAAAAAATTCACACATTGATATTCATTGTTGCTTACTGAACATTTATGGAGACCAAATGGTGAATGTGACAGTAAGGAGGAGGGTGGTGCGTTTCAGCAGGGAAACAGCAATACAAAAGTGACATGAAAGACAAGCCACATTCCTGGTGACTGTGCACAGCTGTCACACCACAAAATGAAGAGTGCCTCAATCAACTCATCTGCCCAGATGGGCTCATGGTGGTGACTATGTTGAAAAATTGTGTTTTGTAGCTGAGAATTTGCTCTATCAAATAGTGTTACTGTGCTCTTTGTAACTATTGTAGTTTCCATGGAAATAAATAGGAGGCATTACATTTGGAGTGACCTACATACATTAAGACTACTACTTTTTTTTTTTTGGGGGGGGGGGGAGGAACTATAAACTTTTCAGTAATACATTTCTACCTGATTCTACTTGGTAGGGAATAAAAGATACCAAAGTAGGAGGATTAATGCTCAGTGAGGGAGAACATGTGAATGTATTAAAATTAATAGGCAATCCAAAAATCTTCTGGATTTCTCTTGGACTTTATTAAAAGCACTTCCTTCTCCCAGAAGACATGATGCTAGCTATGCAGAAATACTCTGGCAACAGTGCGAGAAATTTCTGCTGCCTATTTGAAAAATCTCCCTTGATCTTTGCTCTGCCTTATGCTCTTTAGCTATTTTAGGGCTGTAAATTATGATAGTTGGTGCCAGAGATTTGTTTTGTAGTCCATGGATGCATACACAGTTCAGCAGAAGGTGGAACAAGACAAAGATGTTACTTTAGGTGCTCAAAAAATTACCTTGAAAGTCCCTCTTTCTCTCCTTTGGCTATATGAGGACTTGACACCTAATCTGAACAAATCTGAATGCTGAAGAGGCTATGCTTCTGTAAATTATTTCCTGAAATCTCAGTTGATTCTTAAAAAATAACAATTTTACTTCTTTTTGCAATGCAAAGAGAATTTTATTTTTTCATGCCAGTTGGGGGTTTTCACCTATGGTTTTCTTGCAGTGTCCAAATACCTTCTGCATCTCATTTTCATTTATTTGGATGTAGATTAGTTGAGAGAATTTTGACTCCTTTAATCTCTAAATCTCATTTAGAATTATATGTTTAAAAACCAGTTTATTGCAGAGTTTTATCAACTTTGAGACTGCTTGACATCTCTTCTGTCTTTGTTACATAAAGCTGAATGTATATACCTACTTTTTAATGGACTTTGATTTAATTAAAGACTTTTTCAGTTCCTGGTATTATCTCTAGAGTGTAATTTATTGAAATTGCTGGCAAACTTGCTATATAGACAATTTTTCTATTCCCATAGTTTTTTCCTTTTAAGTAGCTGCATCAGTTTCCGTTTGCCTATAGATCTGGCAGCTATCCAGCAGGGAGTCATAGAAACTAGTGTTGCAAAAAGTATTTTTGTTGCAAAAATACATTAATCTAGTTTTCTGGAGAATGATGAAAGTGGATTTTGTGCTCCTCAATTTTCTGGAGCTTTGTCTTTCTATTTCAAAATGTTCTACGAAAATTAATTTTTCTTTCTTTAAATATCTGGGATCCTAATCCCTTCAGCACTTCACAGTTTAGCTATGTTGGGTAACCATGAGACATTCCTCTGTGGCAAAGAAAAGGTTTTGTCTCCACTTTACAGGTGCAAATACTTACGTTTTCACTTCTGGAGAAGGGATTAATGTATTTTCTTAGCCTCCCAGAATGTAGTCTATTGCTGAGCTGGAGACTGATGGTTGTGTTCTTTGTCCTTTCCCAGCAAATGTCTGTAACATAACACAAAAACTTTGAGTATTGAAGCAAATGACTTTCTATAAGAGGGACATTTCTTTAGCTTTGAAGTAGCTTTTCAACAAAGCAAATAACTCCAAAGCACACCTAAGAGGCTGCAGTTGTCTCAGTATAGTGGATTTTGAACGGTGCTCTGACATCTCCTTTGCAATTGAACCATGCTCTCAGATGGAAGTAAGGAGAAATGCAATTATGAGCTTGTGGGTTACTAAACGTGCAGCAACACCAATCTCTGCAGTCATACCCTTAATAAACGTGTACTGTACTTGTTATTCATGTAATTCTGTAACAACTTTGTTGTTGTTAAGGCTAATCCTATTCCCCAGCATGTTTATCTGGGGGTCTTTCTTTCTCAAGCTGAAATTCTGGTGAATAAGGATTTTGGAGCTGATTTAATTGTTAATATACTGTATTGCTTACTGCAGTCTCAATCCCACCAGAAGGAACTGTCAGAAAATGTATCTTAATTGTTGGTCCAGAAATTACCTCAGGTTTTAAATTAATATTCCAATACTTCAAATCACACCTTAAGTATACTAAGGCTTTCTCTTTAAATGAAGTGCTTCTCGTGCTCATTATTTGTGGTTTTACCCACTCTATTTCTAGAAGAGATTTTCAAGTCTGAGGATTAAATGTCATTCTTTTCAAATGTGTAATATAAACCTTTCATTGATTGTACTTTTCACCTATTTGTTCTCTTGCAAACACTGTTCATTTGTTTCAGCGGCTTTCCTCCATGCTGGGTGTATCTTTGAATATGTACAGAACTGGACTCTGTTTCTCCAGATTGGGTTGGCCTTGTCCAAATCTCCCATCCAGCTGCTCACTCACTCCCCAGCTCAGCAAGCAGAGGGGAGAAAGTGAGAACATCAGGAAGAAGAAAGCTTGTGGTGAAGGCAAAGACAGGAGATCATTCAGCATCTATCTTTGTAGCCAGGCAGCGTTTTGTCCTTTCTTCCCCAGACGCTCACCCATGGCTGCTGGTCCCAGTCATGGCCTGCGGTGGGCAGCCCTGGCCTCTCTTCACACAGCAGCCCCGCAGCACCCAGGGACAATGCCTGGCAATCCTCACACTGAATGCCGCAGAGCACAGTGCTGTAAGCAACATTTCAGGTGAAATCCTATTGCTCTACACATTGATGTTTTACTTTCGTTCCACAGAAGGTTTCTCACTTAAATTATTTGCTTCTTTCACAACCACAGCTTTGGAGTGGCTCAAACATTTCTTTTTTTTCCTGTGATGAACTAATCATTCTGCAATGTTCCCCTCTCAGGCTCTTTCCTGCTGAAAAGCTTTCTCTGCAGAGCTTCAGATCCTGTTATTAGCCTCTGAATTAATGACTTTGAACACCGTACAGCTGAATCCCATCCTATTTCTATTATTTCAATCTTCTGAATGATCCGCTTTCCCTAACTGATTTTCAGATTGTATTTTCTGTGGAAATTGCAGCCAGCCTTTTGCCACAGAGATGTGACCCTGGCACATCTCTGTTGACACAGCGCTGTGGGACCCGCAGGGCAGGCTCAGGCTTCAGGCTTTGATGAGCAGGGACCCATCGTTAATCTTGCCTATATTGTGCCAAGTGTCAATAAAATGTAATTTACCTAGGTTGGCGGGTGGCAAAAAGAGAGCTGAAATTCATACATGTGTGCAGTATGAGATACTTAACTGCTTTTGAAACAAAAACCTTAGAGCTTGTTAGAGCTTTTTTTCTTCTAAAAGGGAGTGGGTAAGCAAAGAAACAGAAGATGAATTCATTTGGAAGCCGTAGAGAATAAACAA